TATCACTTCCCACCCCGCTCGATGCAATGGGCAACGCGGTCCCGATTATCCTGCGCGACGACCGATGCAGTATGAAATTATTTTTGTTTTGTTTGTGCATTGGGGTTTGATGGACGGGTAGTACCAGGGTGTCCAGCCGCTAAGCAGGAGAACGATTAAGGTTCTCGTCGAAAGCCCTTAGTTCTAACAAGAACCTATCCGCAAGGCAACGGTTGTGGCGAAGTGGAGACCCGTTTACTTGGATCGCATACTCCTGCACCGCCTTTTATCGACTGGAACACCAAATTCCAGGCGGACCCCCAACCTAGAGGACAAGGAGACTGAACTTCTTATGACCTCTACCCATTGACCTTTCAGGCATGATAAGATCTGGCTTTCTAGGCCCATCATGTGCAGCTCCTTGGGTCACAGAGGTGCACAAGCCATCATACCACGTCAGTGTGTAGTCTCGTCGTAATAGCTTAATTTGAACGCAAAGCGAGGTCGGAGGAATGGAACGGTCGGTTCTCGGACAGATGTCAAGGAGGATAGCGGCGAGCTAGAGCATGAATCTACGTCAGTGGAACCGTTCGGGGTGGGTCAAACAGTGAAAAAAGTGGGGCTATTGTGTAGGGGGCGGTGTAAGTGTTGCGTGCAGATTTTAAATGAGAGCTTTGCATGGGCGCAGGATTCTGATACATGTGTGAATGCGTAAGTTCATAAGCCCATGGTTACTCACCCAGTGTTTCTATCAGACATGAGCAGTGCTTCGGAGATATCGGTGGTCGAAGAAATGCGTAAAAGGATTCAGATACACTGGTTACCAGCCATGTTGGCTGGTGTCTTAAGTCATAGATTTTCGCTCTTCTTGGAGCCCCAACGTGGGAACCTAGAACGTCCTATCACTGCCAGTTTTGAGGTTAATGGCTTCATTGTTCGAGCTTAGATCATTATTTATTCGACTCGTCGCCGCTTCCGGTTGAGGTCGGCTTGCCCAAACATAACATGATGGACAGTCGTTGAGCGAGCATTCAAAGGTCACTCACTGTTATTTGTTGGGTATACAAACAGTGGCTTTTCAGAATAGTGTGATATATGTTCACATGGTTCATCTTTTTCGCTAGCATTTCAATTCCGCGGATGGATTTCAAAGTGGCTGATAGTTTTCGTTACCGATATGTGGTTGGAAGGTACCAACCGATCTATGAATCACCGGCTGTAGGTTACACTGACGAAAGTGCTACTTTATATCTTACCTTATCGAATTGTTCTTAAGAGACTAATGTTAGTTGCACACTTCATTCCTCTAGTTTATTTTGACAGTCCCCTCCATCCGTGTGACTTATTCTGAAATTAATTAAGCAGTTTATTTCATAGCGAATGCCAAATTATCTTTCTTGTATTGAGCGTTCTTTTTGGTCATCATAACGGCAGTTTTTCTACCCAGACAGTACGACTTGTCTCTTACCGCTTTCTTCCTTGTTGACATCCAGATGAGTGGCTGCGGCCCATCTTCAATCTAACCAGTGACTATCGGACGCTGACGAAAGAAGAAAGGAAGCAGTTGGACTACGAACACTTGCCCAAGCGTCGAAACATCGAGTAAGCGTTGGGATTTTTTCGTGACAGTCGTAGGTACTTTGTGCATTGTGTTTTGTCGGTAGGTTTCTTAACCGTAGGTGAAGTGGACCACGGCGAACTCGTGCGTCTTGCTCATATTTTGTGAATTAAATAAGATTTTTATTGTTGTTCACGATAATTTAACTAAAACGTGCAGTGATGGTGACAACGTTTCAACTGTCTTATAGGGTCCTTCTCAAGTGAACACCATCGGATTTTCAAACAGTTAGTTGTTTCCAGTTATTCTGTTTCTATTACGTGTGATGAATAACAGACGGAACGAACCACATAGTCACGAGGACCTGCTGTTCCGTTGGTGGAAACCGGTAGCCTCAGCCCCGGGACTTGGAGTGGCAAACCACATAAGGCCCCGCTAGGTTAGGCGTGATATTGAACCGGACGACAACAAAACTATCTACTACCAAATTTAGGTGACGGTGGCGGGACTCAAACCTGGGACCATAGGGTCAAAAGCACGCCGGTGACAGCGACTAAACCACTGAGCCACCACCATCCCCTTATTATATTGACTTGAAAAAATGCTTTGCACAAAGGTTGAAATGCTGTCATCATTACCAATTATTGTGGTTAACCCATCATAGGGAATATTTTGAAAAACGGTTCCAATGTTATATCTGCTTTCCACAATGGTACCCCTGGTCTTTTCGATCCATCAGAAGCCTAGTGCTTAAACTTCCTGGCGGCTATATACAAGCTTCCAGCCAAGAAGAGATCATCGTCAAAATACTTCCAAAGATGGGAAAATGTGGGACATCAAGCATTCAAAAATATGAATTAACGGCTAAATGCATTAGAAAGCTCAGGACGAACACCTTAATATCCGAGCCAGATAGGGTACCAAAGAGTTTCTGTCGGTAGATATTCGAAACGGAATGATTTTGTATTTGTAACGGGTGAAGAGGTGGAGTTTGCATGCACCGGTAAATGTGTAAAGGATGGATGCAATCAGGTAAAATATTCTCAGCCAACTTCAAGTACACATCAATATTAGCATTACACATATTGCCAATCAGAAGAGAAAGCGGAACTTGTGAGGCACGGCTGATCATTGACAGATCATGTCTCAGCAATCGGAAATCGGCCTTCAGCAAACCAGGGAAAATCACAGGGGAGCGGTAAAGAGGAGAACACATTGTTGAAGAAAGCTCCCATCACCGACAGATTGGAACAGAATTGGCGCAGTCTTCTCCTAAAGGAGAGAACTTTCAGCTTGCGCTTGATTGGGTATGTAAAGATCTGCGAAGGGTACTTTCATGTGTGACACCCAAGTACTTTTCTTGGTTGACCCTACTCGTCGGCTTTCCCTTAATCTGTACATTGTTGAGGGGGATTGAGAACGGTTTGAAGTAAAAATACATTCAAGGCACTTTTTGGGATAAAGATTAAGGTCGGATAAAGTAGAATACGTAACGAGGCGGGATAGGTTTGTTATATGCAGCCAGTTCTATTCAAATTCAAATTCAAATTTTTATTACGGGTAAATTACAAAGCTGATGCTTATTTAATCCCATAGGGTCTGTACACACTGGATTCGGTTGGTAGTACAATTCATTAGCAAAATTCTTACGTTCACTCACAAGTATTGAACAGTTAGGTGATTTAATGCTTCATCCAGTCGTGACTTGAATGAATCGATGGTTGGGGAACCAACAACTTGAGGTGGAAGGGAGTTCCAGGTGTTACAAACTCTGAGGCTGAAAGAATGACGCCTGCAGTCGAGCCGGCTCTTTTGGAGCAAAAGTTTAAACGGATGTCCTCAGAGGTGACCATTCCTGGATAGCGTCACTAGAGTACTACACGGATGGTTAGGTTGATGTAGTATTTGATAAACGAGGATCATGTCTCTCCGTATTCGACGGTATTCAAACGAGTAGAGTCCGAGAATTCGCAGTCTTTCACCGTAGGTCTTGGATTGTAACCCTTTGACCATTTTGGTTGCTGTTCTCTGCGGACGTTCAAGTGCCTTTTGGTCGCGAATCAGCCATGGATTCCAAGCCTGCATAGTATACTCGGTGTGTGGTCTAATGTATGTTGACAGTAAACGGGACAATAGGTCTATTTCGAATGATCCAAAACCACGTTTTAGCAACCCAACGTGTTTTATAGCCTTTGAAGACGCTCTTACGCAATGTGTGAAACATCCTAGATCCTCATGAACGATAACTCCCAGGTCATTTTCGTTTGGAGAACGTGGCAAAGGCTAAGTTCCAAGGAAGTATGGAAAGCAACCCTTGTGGCGCAGCAATACCACCTTGCATTTCTCAATGTTGAATTCGATGTCACTAATGATGGACCATCGGTAAGCTGCGTCGAGAGTTTCCTGCAAGGTTTCATAACCTTCGGAATATTTTACCGTCCTCCTCCGCATCAGCGAATAATAACGCCTTTTCTACCTGGATGTCTGGTAGGTCGTTTATGAATGCTAAGAAAAGATACGGACCAAGTACGGATCCTTGTGGAACTCAACGGACAGCCTCAATCGATCCCGACAGAGAACCATTGACTCGAACCGATACTGTACGCTGTCGAAGAAATTCCTCAATCCAGTCTAGTAGCAGTCCTCGGACACTGCAACAATGTAGCTTTCGCAGCAATATATGGTTATTAACCCTATCAAAAGCTCTGGAGAAGTCTAAGTAGACTATATCTACTGCCTCTCCTTCAACGACTGATTTTGTCCATTTATCTCGTGCAAGTAGCAGGTTTGTGGTTGGATACCGAAACAGAGATGGCGATATCATCAGCATACTTAAAATATCGTACAACGGGAGTAATAGGTAAGTCACTTATATAGGTCACAAAAATATGGGGTGAAAGGGCAGCACCTGGAAGTACACCCGAACTATTGATTGGTCGGATGATTGTATCCCATCATTCTGGCGCGAATCACCGGTCGATTCAACCATATAGAAGGGATCAAATAATGACTGCGCAAAATGCCTCTGTATAAGTTCTGCTCTTCACCATATTCTTAGCTTCTGCAATTCTGCACAGCCTGATGCTATTAGGGAGACGTTTATTCTAAACAGCAGGTGAAATTCCGACTAGGTCGCTGTTGTATTGATCAAGTCTTCACTTTCCATCATGTTCTTGAGTTGCAATACAAGTTATACACTTCCGAAGTGCAGTGTTGCTGTGAGACTGGATATAATCTACTTTTGCTCTGATGCTTGCTGACCAAGTATTGATAGGTTGTTTCTCCCACATGAGCATTTGCACTCTATTATCAGTAATGTAGTTGAGGAGGTAGCCACTTGTATGGTCCAAGCTGGTGAATAACATTAATGGAAGCCGTCGCGTAAAATGTCTTTTTACTTCCTTTTTTATTTTTTGAATATGCAAACTTTCAGGAAAGGGGTCCCGGCCATACATTTGCGAATGTATCAGAGGAACGTATGTTGTCTCAACGAGTTCCGTAGTTAAGACACGTTGCGCATTGCTAGCAGTTGTCTACTGCACACCCCTTATTTTCTGTTGCTGCTCCGGTCAAGAAAAGATCACTTGGCGGCGAGACAAGAAGAAGTGTACAGAGCGATTAGCCGGAGTGGGTATCTGATGTCCTGCGAACCGGAATGCAGTTTTTTCAGATAACCCCTGGAATCCCACTGAATGCGCTATTTCTCACAATTTAATTATCTTTGTTCTTTGATGTCATTCCGAATCCCTAAAGCCATTCTGGTTCCTATCGTGTTCAAAGGGTTACTTTTTAAAACACGAAATTACTCTTTTTGTGTGATTTTTTACAGGCGATATTTTAAGACCAAATTATTCTTTCTTCGTCTTCAGGAACGAAAACTACGACCATCGTGATATTAATCGCGAATTAGATGGTGAAGGGAAAGGGTGAGTATTTTCTCTGTCTATAATGCACGCAATCCGATAATTACTACTTGTAAGTAGTGTAATCATTTCTGCTATCATAATAGACCCGGGTAATGTGCCGTAGAATATCTTGTTCAGCGCACTAAGCCGCGTATTCAAGTCAGTATCCCGATTTTAGTGGATTGGCTCATGACTTATGACAAGTAATCTAATGTTTTATATTGAATAATCCATGATCGATCTTTGGATCATTTCTGAATCAAGGTTTAGTTTAGTCTGCTGAAATTTTCTCTTGTTAGGTACCTACTCTCTAGTGGAAATGACCGTTTTCTCTAGGTGCATGGATTTCTGGTACAGCTCATGTGTGTCCTTTCAGTATCTTCGATGCTCGAAATTCAGTTTGCACTCATCTTAGCAACAAGTTCATCATTTGTTGCTTGCAAATAACCAATGAAATGATTGTTTTCTTCCATGCCCCCTATTGTTTTCGCTCTCATCCAGTTTACTGCGCCCGGGTGATCCTGGTTGGGTTGGGCGTGCTAGAGTGCCACAACCATCAAACAAGGACTACATCATCCGACCAAAATGGCGAGTGACTGGTAATGGTGATAACGATGACGAAGGAGATGGTGATGGTGAGGAATCCCGACCGATGATTCAAAGACGCCGTAAACCGGGTTCAGCTGGTGCCGGATTGGGCACCTCCTCGCGTNCATTCGAAATTTGACTTCGAGTGCGCGCCATAATCAAGCAAAAGTGGCTCGTGCGGTTCCTATGAGTGTGGAAGGCAGAAAAATGGCATTATAGTCTGTATTAGCATCCGGCGAAGCGTCCATTCGTCTTGTACAGTTCTTGTTACATCCCACGTGGATCTAGTCTCCAAGTATACAGCTTCTCCTGTGGGGATAGATGGAACATAAAGAATTCTGTGCCATAAAGGATCTCCCGGATTGATTTCTTTTCCTGCTTTCTCTCGTATGTCTCCTCCATTCAGTCATCGTTGGACTGTAACATTGTATATTGTCCAATCGCTGTCAAAGCAGACTACTGGGAAGTTATCCTTTGTGCTTAGTGTTCCCAATCAGTACTGATCCCATTGAAAGGAATCTTTTTTCTTGGTCTCCACGAACTGATTTTGTCGGTTGCATATCAGCCATTTGTTCCATATGAATACACATGTCTGAAGTAACTCCACACGAACTCATTTATGCCTTCTAATGTTGAATGACGATGGTCGATGATTTCGAGTATGTTCAGTCGCAAGTGATAAATTTAAGCTTAAGTGTTTTGATTCGTTTTTTTCCGAAGCGGCACATTTTTACACGATAGATCGGTCTAACAAACTAGTTGATTTCACACTGTGATAGTCCATTTATGATTCTTGTCGTTCTGGAGCCATTAGGAACAACCGGTGCATTATGGCAAGCTGTTTGAACGATAAGTTCCAAAAGGTGACAAAGTGCACCGGTGTCCTTCACGTGGCGCTAGTGCCAAGTTTTCCAGTGTTGTCTTAGATTCCATCAAGAAAACCTAGTAGAATTAAGTGCTTCTTCATATCAGTGTTTTAATGTTGGGATAGGCGATACGACCAGACTAGCCTAAACCGTGACCCAAACAATATATGCTGCAGTACTGACGATGAACAGGAATCGTAACGACCCAGCGACCGAATGAACAGTACACGACTACGCCCAACTGCGGTACCCAGCTCAAATCCCAAGAAAACCGGAGGAACGCCTCACGATCCCCAAACCCAACCAAAAGAAGACGGAAAACAGGCCTTCAGCCTAGGTTGTGTATTCAACCCGAGCCGAAAGAAGACTGTGGGCAGCTCATCTGTTTATATACAGTTTTAGAACCGGCCAGCAATGGCCTTGAAAAATAGCTTGAAAGTAGAGTCATGAAGGAATGGACCACTCAAGATAGAATATGGTCGGTAGTGTGGTCTAGGGCTTTTCGGGCATCGAAATTCGGAGATTCAAATTTTCTAAAAATAATTAGGAAAATAAGGAAAAATGGATAAATAGTCACTTTTATAGAGAAGAATGGTCTTTCCCCTATTAACCAGCTATCAATAGTTCATGGTAATAGCAAGAGTTTCGGGGCTATTGCATTTTTTATAAATAAGTGGATATCATCTGACCTCATTCACTTCACCAGTTGAGAAACTGGGAGAGTGCACAACAAATAACAGTGATGTCAGACTGATTCGGGGAAATGCCGGTGGCTCATATGTGATGGAATGAACATGATGAATTTTAAGGAGCCACAGTGCATTTCCGTCACAGCTCGCAGCTGCTAATCCGAGTGATATACTGTCAATCCTGAAGAAGAGTGCATTCACCGTCGCAGTGTAGGCTGGTTTGATCTCGTATTTATGTGAAACGTTGGAGAAAAGCCATTCTTAATACCATTCTTCAGTCATCGGTCGGACTTCCTGAGGCAGTTCAAACAGAGAGAAAGAGCTGATACAGCAAGTGCGGAGATTTTTTTCATATAGTTCGATCCTCGAGGACGCCTTCACTTTTAATTCCAGTGTTTATCGTGGAACTATTTGAACAGTTTGTCCAACATGTTGAGAATCTACTTTACAAGAATTGCATCCCTTGAAGAAATGTTGTTAATCAACGAGACGAAGTTGATAGTAATTGAGTTGCCATTCCACGTTTTCGGGCTGTTCACTGTACATGCCCATACTTTTGCTTTTGCGTTTGGCTTCAACCAATCTATTTCCCCGCTCCGTCGATTAAAAAAGACGGTGGCATTTTTGTATCGGGGTTAATTCATTCATAATGCATGGCGAACGGGTTACACATAGCCGTATGAACTTGAGTTCACTGCGCAGCAGCTGCTTCGTCCCAAATTTTGCAGGCCTTCCTGGAATACCTTTCTTCATGGGCTTAGAAAGCGGATATGATCTGCCTTAGCACTGAAAAATGCTCAAGCTGCGAAAATAGCTTCCATTCGCGGGTCACACGAATCGGTGTCATTCTGGTTTTAAATATGGTGTATATGGGTAGTTGTTCTCACCGGAGGCAGTAATTTGAACCCATGATGCGCGTATTGATTTGAGGATTTATTGGGGCACATCCATTCAGAAGCGTTGAATTGGTACAGTGTGGGTGCCACTAGATTGGAGACACTGTGGGACATGACGGAGAATCCGAAGCAGTGGTATTCTTATTGCCTGTGTCAGGCGATTCGGCATCCGAAGCTCGCGGTGTTGCTGGTGTTGGGATTGCGCTGAGTATCAAGGCCGAGCGTTCACTTCTCGATTGGATCCGGGTTAACAGCCAACTTTGATGGTTCAGTACGGATCAACAGCTATAGAACGAAGCGTCGATGTTTGTTCGTCGTATCCGCCTATGCACCAACTGATCGCAGTATGCTAGAAGTGAAGGTTGAACTCTACAGAGAATTCTCTCAACTGCTCCAAAGTACGCGGTCAACGGACATCGTGATAATAGCTGATAATAGCTCAAGTGGGATCCCTGGATGAATCAGAAACGCTACTTAGTGGTTCACATGCAATCCCAGCTAACCGGACTGACAACGGAGAACGCCTACC